GCATAAATGATGATGTCATTTTATGACAAAAATATCAAGGCAAAAAATTTTACATGATCATATCACATGAACAATAAGTATAAATATTATTTCGAATGTAATAATCCTAAGTTTTATTAGAGTTATTTGCTTTAAGCTAATTTAAAGCATATCTGCTTTTGAGCATATTTGCTTTAAGCAGGTTTAAAGCATTAAAGGCATATTTGCTTTTAAGCAGTACTTAAAAAATTTATAAGCAAACTGTAAAAGTTTGTACTTCAAACCTGCTTGAGCAGGTTTTACATAAGCATTTTAACATCCCTAATCGTTATAGAGTGAACTCTTGTTATAGTGAAGATTCAATATAGCAAAGATTTTTTGAATTCTGGAATTATTTAACTTCAACTCGATACAGTGATATTCTCACGTTATAAGCTATAGTGGGATTTTTTACACCCCAGGGACTTCATTATAACAAGAGTAAGTTGTATTTCACTATATTAAGTTGAAGTTTAAAAATTCCGAAATTCAAAACTCCTCACTATATCAATTTTCAATTTTCAATATAATAAGGGTTTACTAGAGTGAGCTTATATATCACTTTATATAATATAATTTAAATATACGTAAAAAAAAAATCTTCCAAATGATCACTCTTGCAGTTAGTAATATTTATTTGAGCGCTGTGCAAGATCTCAAATATGATTCAAAAATTTAGGTTGTATTTAGATTGGTCGGTTATGGATTTTTTAATAATAATTTAAACGATTTTGATTGGTTAAGAGTTTGTCATGTGACTATATAAAGGATGGCATACCTCAAGCCAGAGCATGCCCATTGAGGCATTACTCGTGCCCCAACCCTAGGCTGGAACACTGCTGGAACCAACATCCTTACATGCAATTATGAATTTGTTTGGTTATAAATTTAATATTAAAAGTAAAAAGTAAAAACACGTTCACTTTAACAGTTTATTACGTTTTAAGTATCACGTTCATTTATTATAAATATTTTTTCTCGTTATTGATATCAAAAAATATGTATTCCGAAATATATCGCAAAGTTAAAGAACTATTGATAACAGAGTTTAGTAGACGGCTCGTATACATAGCTTGTGGGTTAATATTTTTTACGTGTGAAAAGTTAATAGATTTAGGAAAAAAAATTTTTTTATCCATCAACTTTTGATTAATAAAATTTAGTTCATACTTGATTTCAAATGCTGTTGGACGTTTCAAAGGATCATCATTCCAACATTTCTCCATCAATTCAACGAATTCTTTTGGAGTACCATCGATAAACTTGGGACGAAGGCCACGCATAATATCTAAAATAAGGGTTACATCGTGTTCTCTATCATAAAAAGGTTTGCACCCACTAAACATTTCCCATATGATCATTCCCAAACTATAGATATCAGATTTTTTAGTGTAACGCCCACGTTCTAACACCTCTGGAGCAATATATGGAATTATCCCGTAGATATCATTATGATCGTGTAACGCATCAGCCAACTTGCTTACGCCAAAATCACTGATTTTAGCGCATGGAGAATAAGTACCATCGTTAAGGGCATCGCTATTAATAAGTATGTTTCCACTATGAAAATCACAGTGAATTATATCTTTCTTATGAAGATTCATAAGATTCCAAACTATAAAATTTAGTATATTTAATTTTTCATTCCATGATAATGTGTTGATATTTTTTGAGAGAAAATTATGCAAATCCCCATATAATGCGAGTTTCATGACTATTATATATTTTTTAGTCTTTGGGTGTTGAGTAATACCATAAATCTTTTGGAAGTGTAAATCGGAAAAGCTTTTCCTACATTGAATGTAGATATTTAACTAAAAAAAAAAAAAGCATCGCAATTTAATATTGTATATTAATGATCTTTTTGACACATATTTATATATTAAAAGAAAGTTATTAACCTCATTCAAAAAAATAGAATTCATATTTGTAAAATCTTCAATGTCTTTAAGAGCAACATCAATATCATTTTTGTATTTACGTTTCCAAGTTGCTTTATAAATTCTGCTAAATCCTCCGTTATTAATACAAATGATATTGGTAAATTGTTCATATGAAATAAATTCTAATATGAAAGGTGAATTTTCATTATCTTGCAATTGCGTATTTGTAATAATATCATCGACTAATTTACTACCACTTGATATTTTATGATTGCACGGATATACATTTTTATCATGGTGACTTCTAAATTCGTAACTGTCTTTTTTAACCAAAGGATTTTTGAGCATGTAAGTTAATTTTATGTATTTTAAGTCTTGTTTTGTAAATAACCGTCGAATATAATTAAACGAATTAAATAAAACATAGACAATCGTTTGAAAATTCGCAATTATCGCGATTTTAAATCTTGCTGAATATCTATATATTTGATAATATGCATTTCTTCGTCTTATGTTTCAATAGTGCATCAATCAATTAAAATTGATGTGTTACGTAAATAGTATGTTAATGTGCATGTGCATTAAAAAAAGTTATTTCCATATCGGGTAATTATAGCTATAGCGATAGCCTGGGTTATCATTCCTAAGCGCAAGTAGTAAATACCCGAATAATATTTTGATCGGTGATGTGCATGTGCATAATGAAAAATTACTAACTTATTTTGACACGAGCGTTCTTAATAATGACTACTGCTACAAGGGGATTATTAGTTCGGAATACATTATTATTTTATGTGATTCTTGAATTCTACAATTTGAAAATAAATAAGTAGGCGACTAATTTTTTATTTGTAAATTAATTGACCGCTTGTTAGTTAGTGTTAGTAAGGTCAAAAAAAAAAAAAAAAAAAAAAAAAAGGAAAAGAAAAAATGTCTAATAGAACCGTCTCAGGTAAAGTATTTTGCATCCCTCTCATTTTTTTTTCGCGTTGGTCTTCTGCCGAAGAACACAAAGTAAAAATTACGTAATCGCTATTTTTAACTATTGAGTATTAATTCAACAAAATTTTAACTTATTAACACTAGCTCCTATCAATGTCGATGGTGATGATGTTACTTATAACCCTACGTCCGCTTCTGACCAAATAATTTTAACTGCGGAAAGCTTTAATGAGTTTAATTTAGGTAAATAAATTAATTATTCTTGACTATCCTTTTTTTATTTTCAAGCAAGTTTTTTGTTAAAAGAATACATCAAGAATATATAAATTACAAACAGAATAACAAGTTTATTTTTATCCCATTGACATTAGGCAGCCTTGTTGACGATGGCACCCTTATTTACGACCTTAGACCAACCCCTATCATAGCAAACTGTAATGGTAACGATCTTGGACCAGGTAAATCAGTAATAATAATCACCGATCGATGTATCAATTTCGTGGGGGATTAATGAATAATAATATCCTTTTCAGTATGTGAAAAAAAGGAAACTTCGTTTCCGAACAGGATATTTTTATTATCGTAAACTGTCGTATACAAGACCCGTGTCTATTCATTTTGCCAATTTTAAAACCTACGATTAGGCCCGTGAATCTCTTACATGAGTGTGAGTCTGATAATTGGGGGTTTACTCTATTTTATTCGTTTTTTCCTATTTGTATACCCCGGGTCTTTTACATTTTACCAAAGTTTTATCCCATGTTGTAGACCCGGGTATAGTACATAAGGAGTATTATATCTGGGGATCTTGTATACGGCAGTTACGGTATCAATTAAATCATTATATTTGAGCGAGTTCTTTGCCAAAGAATAACAATGATGATAAATTAATTTTATCCTCCTAATATTTGACTATTCGGTTTGTAACGTCACTTAACTAGGTTTATTTTCTGTTGATTATGGCCCTATTTCTGGTCTATTGAATTGCAATGATAGATTAGGTAATATCATATGTTTTTTTAAAAAAAAAAAATTTACGTAATAAGCAATGATAACAACGAAATTTTTTTTCTCATAATATTAGATGATGATTCTTCATTAAATTTATCGTCAGTTGTTAATGAACCTATTCTTGTCCAATCATCCCCAGCCACAGTAGACTACAATGATTTTGGATTAGGTAAACAAAGTTTATCTTTAAGTAATCATTTTGTCAAATATGTAATAATAAAATTATGTTGTTTATTGTGCATGTTTTATAACTTGGTAATTTTTGCATAATAAATATAATAATTTATTATTCATGATGGTTTACTTATAAGCAAAGGCGATAATTTAATTTTTGCACTTTTAATATTAGAAAATGACTCTTGGCAAAATTCGTTGCCAGCCATCAAAAGCAACATTCTTGATCGACAAATTTCAACCCCAGTTTACGATGTAATTGCTTCTGGAAAAAACAAATATCAATGCACCTTCTGTTCTCGTAAATGCAGGTCACCAAGCGAATTAAAAAAACACCAAGATAAACACCATACTTTAGAAATATTATCTTTTTATTTTTTCAACGTTTAAATTTATTTTTATGATTATTTTTATTATTTATTATTTTATATATGCTTTATTTCTTTAATCCTAAAAAATTGAAATTAAAAAAGTATTATATAATAATAAATTATGCTAAGCTTTTCATCATGACTTTAATTTTGTATTATATAGTATATACAATACAGAAGATCTAATGCATCAATAAACTAGTGCATCAATTAATTGAATTTGTATATATAATGTAACGGATTAACATTAGCTGTTAATATGCATAATACGTAATTCATAAATCTGTGATATGCATCACCTGAGATAGGCATTCATTGAGTGTTTGTTAGGTTTATGGTGCAGAAATTAGTGCCATTCAAAAATTAAATCACACGTATAACAATAGAATTAATAGTTAGAATTTAATTCAAATCTGTGATATGAATCACCTGGAATATCCATTGAGTGTTTGTCAGGTTTATAGAGCAGAAATCAGCCAATTAAAAAATTAAATTACGCGTATAACAATAATTAATATTATAAAAATATAGTTAGAATTTATTCAATTAATAAAGGCAAATTACCAACGATGCACGGGATCATGGTAAATGAAAACAAAGGGCAAATAACTAAGCAGAATTAGTCATGCAGTATTTGATTAACAAAAACCGAACTCGATTTTTGTTATCATGTGACCAGCACGTTGGAGAGCCGCCCTAACGAAGCACAGAAAAACGAATAAATTAAAAGGTGGACAGCCCAAAATAAAAAGACGGAAAAATCACGAGATATTTGGTAAACAGCTCGCAAACAATTCACGAAGCACAGGGTGTTCTATTTAGTGTTGTACATTTTCATTGTTCAAAAGATTTTAGAGTGAAATTTTCTCAAAAATCACTAATTCAAATTTAATGAAATTTTTTTTATTTTAATTCTATAAATACGTAGAATTAAAATAAAAAAATTTTTATCGAATTTTATCAGATAGTTATCAAAAAATCTTTGGACAGTGGAAATGCACAACACTGGTTCTATTGTGCCACCAATCTGGTACGTAATGCACGTATGTATGTATGTACGTACGTACGTACATCATTCGCAATGCCTCTTTAAGATAGCATAATAACGTTAATTTGTTTACACATTGTGTAACAGTTTAATATTAGTAAACTTGGTTGCATTTGATTCAAACATTAGAGGGGTTTTTACACTAAAATAGAATATGATAACTTCGATAACGAAAGTTAAATGTTTTTAAAAAAGATGCTAAATTTTATATGCTTTGATTAATAAGCACATCGTATATGGTATGCTGTGTAATTTGAATATCTTAAAAGTATTATAAGGATTGAATCAAAATTTTTTGACTCTAATCGGGAATTCGAGTTTCAAAGTAATTGAAAATTCTTCTATCGAGAAATCCAAGCATACTGTAAGTACAAGCTTTAAATTAAATTTATCAACAAATAATATACAAAACAATGAAATACAAACTCTGCAGGTGCTCTAAAATCCAGGAATGCGAATCTAATCTGGCCACCCAAATTTTAGAACAATATCATTCATTATAAAGAAATTGGGATTCATAATTAACATGCAGGAATTTAAATTTCAAACAGTAACAATCATTATGTCAATATTTTCGAATAATAACCGTTTGATAGATTGGTTCATTTGGTAAAAAAAAAAGGGAGTCTCGGGCATTCCCATTTAGTTTCAACTTTATTGAACTCTTAATTATGCTATTTTTATATAAAATCGAATTTAGTTTACAGCAATTATCTATTTTTACGCAGCATTTATTAGGCCATAATATTAAACCTATATTAATTACGTACAGATATATGATAACATAAAAAACTATTCTGATCAGACCAATAAAAACTATGCACGCTAAGGCCAGAAGTGCCATACTATGCATGACGATCATTCTTATATTTTTACAACTTTTTCCCGTAAATTTGTTAATAGCTTTTAATTATTTCGACTTAAAAACTATGAGTTTAACTATATTGTACATGTACATGTATTCCTAATAGAACACTCCAACGCTTATGACTTTAGATGAGTCATCATAAATAATATAAAATTTATATGACAATACTTTTTAACAACTTTTGCGACTCTAACCTATCCAATTAGATTTTGTTAAGTGTGTATATTCAATATTGGGACTATATGTCAGTGATGATAAACGACCCGAAATAACTCAAATGACAAATGACTGGTCATTAGATTATTTCAAGACCTAAATGGCTTAATCATTTAGCTATGTTAATTGTGGGCATTATGCTGAAATATTATATAAGCTATATGAAAAACATTTAACTAAAAATAAAACCTTTTTCCTGGCCCTAACAGGGACCCAAACCCTAAACCTAAAAAAATTGACTATATATTTTACGGAATTGGGGTCGACTTCATAAGATGACATTTGTATGATTGGCTAATTTATATCGATCAAAACGTGATCATCGGCCAAAAAATCTCAAAATTTGCAAGCAACTTTATTACTATTGTTATAGTATTAGCAAGAACTTTACATTTAATTTTATATTTACAAACTCTACTAGAGATGCGCTTTAACCCTTAGTTTATATAATAAATAAGCACAACACCACTCGTATATACTATATTGACTTGCTACTAAAGTAAAGCTAAACCGTGATTACAACTGCTTATTCAATATTATTAATTAATACACAAGATATATAGTGTCATGGTTTAATTTGTTATCATAGACAGAAGTTTGCCTGATTGGCTAGTTTTTTAGATCGATTTGCAAATCCACACGTGACGATTAACCAATCAAATTACACAATTTTTATTCGTTATTTTACAATATTACAGCCTAAAAACAAAAACATCAAGAAAAAAGTTTATAATAAACGGTAAAAATACTGATCATATACATATAAAAGATAGGTGAATATATGTAAAGAGGAGTAAAAGCGGTGTTCAACTACTAAAACAACCAGAACTTACTAAATCTAACTACAGAACT